CTATCAATTCTCACTGTTCTTATTTAATATAATATTAGAAGTCGTATCCAGAATAAAAGGCAAAGGAAGCATGGAAATGGAATGCGAGGAAGTCAAACTATCCTTGCTTACAGATGATAAGATTCTATTTACAGAAAGACCAAAAGTTCAACAAAAAACAGTTAAAGGTGATTTTTTAAAAGTCAGCGAAGTAGCAGAATGCAAAATCAACATACAAAAGCAGTAGCTTTTCTACTCACCAATAACCAGTTTGTTGAAAATGAAATCATGAAAGTATTCCCATTCATAACAGCTACAAAAAATAAAAAATATAAAAATACCTATGAATAAACTTAACCATGGAAGTGAAAGACCTCTACAATGAAAATCACAAAACACTGGTGAAAGAAATTAAAGACATGAAATAGGTCAAAGGGTCTCCAATATTCATGGGTAGGAAGAATTAATATTGTTAAAATTCCCATGTTATCCAAAACAATCTACAGATTCAGTGCAATTCCCTCAAAAGATCATTATATTTTTCATAGAACCAGACAAAACAATTGTGATAGACAAATGAAGCACAGAGACCCTGAATATCCACAGCGGTTTTGAACAAAAATAACAAGATTGGAGACACCAAAACACCTGATTTCAAGACATAGTACAGAGCCACAAAACAGCATGGTATTGACATAGAAACAGAGACCACTGAAACACAGTAAATATGCCAGAAATAAACCTACCGTCTCCAGCCAACTGGTTTCTCAACAAAGGCACCAATAACATACACTGGAGAAAGGACAGCCTCTTTAATAAATGATGTTGGGAAATGATACCAACGTTTAGAAAACAGTCTTGATCCCTATCTCTCACCCTGTACAAAAATCAACTCAAGATGGATCAAAGACCTCAGTGGAAGACCTGAAACTCTGCAACTACTAGAAGACAACATAGGAGAAACCTTCAGAACATTAGAAACGGCAATGATTTCCTGGATCAGAAAGCACGGGAAATAAAAGCAAAAGTTGACAAATGTGATTTTGTCAAACTAAAAATCACAGCAAAAGAAATAATTTACAGAATGAGAAATAATATTTGCCAACTATTGATCTGACAGAGGACTTGTTGTGGTTTAGATGTGAGGTGTCCCCCAAAAGCTCATGTGTGAGACAATATAAGAGGGTTTAGAGGGGAAGAGCCTTAACCTAATAAGTACATTAGTTTGCTGTGGACTGGAGGAGAAGGGTAGTTGGGGGTGTGCTTTTGGGATATGTATTTTGTCCTTTTTGAGAAGAGCTCTCATTCTCTGCTTCCTGGTGGCCATGTCCTGAGCTGTTTTCCTCCACCACACCCTTCCACCATCATGTTCTGCCTTGCCCTGGGCTCAGAGCAGTGGAGTCAGCTGTCTGTGTACTGAGACCACTGAAATCATGAGCCCCAGATAAACTTTTCCTCCTCTGATTGTTCTTGTCAGGTCTTTTGGGGATGACAGGAAAATAGCTGACTAAAACAGGGCTAATATCTAAAATAACAAGAAAACTTTAAAAACTTAATCAAAAACAGTTACCCCATTAAAATGGACAGATGATCTGAAGAGTTACTTCTCTAAAGAATGACCAATAAGTATATGAAAATATATATCAATGGCCATCAGGGAAATACAAATCAAAACTACAATGAGAGACAGTCTCACCCCAGTTAGAATAGCCATTATCAAAAATAATAAAATTTTAAAAGCTGGCAAGAATGTATAGAAAAAGAACTCTGGTACACGGTTGATGGGAATATAAATTAATATAGCCATTATGGACAATATGGGCATTCCTCAGAAAACTAAAAACAAATCTACCATATGGTCCAGCTATCCCACTTCTCAGTATATATCCAAAGGAAATTAAATTGACAAAGAAACTTATACCTGAACTCCTGTTTATTGTGGTACTATCCACAATAGCCAAGATACAGATTTAGTCTAGATCCTCATCAACTGATGAATGGACAAAGAAAATGTGGTATGTATACACTATAGCATATTATTCAGCATAAAGAATGGATTCTTGTCAGTAGATAAAACAATAAACCCACCTTCTACAGAATACTGGACAAAACTATAGGACCTTATGTTACAGGTACCAAGCCAGGTACTGACAGATATGTACCACCTGTTCTCATATATGGAAGCTAAAAAATGTCAACATGAAAGTAGACTAGAGATTACTAGAGATTGGGAAGGATAGGAGAAGGGTAGGGGATATTGAGATTGGATTTGTGCATTGCACACTATATACCTGTAATGGAAAGAACATACTGAACCACATGAATATGTACAAGATGTGTTAATTATTTTATTTATTCATTTAAGATATATGTGAAATGATAGTAGAGTGTATTTTGACATATTATACATACATGGAGTATGACTTATTCTAATTAGAATCCCATTCTTGGGGTTATACATGACATGGAGTTACATAGCTTGTATATTTGCATATGAACATAGGAAAGTTACCTCTGCTGCAATCTACTGTCTTTCCTATTCCCATCCCCCCTCCCTTCATTCCCTTTTGTCTGATCCTTTAAACTTCTATTCTCCCCCCTGCCACCCCTTATTGTGTGTTAGCAACTAACATTCAGCCTTTGATTTTGGGGGGATTGGCTTATTTCACTTTGCATGATAGTCTTCAGTTTTAACCATTTACCCACAAATGCTATAATTTCATTCTTCTTTTTGGCTGAGTAATATTCCATTGTGTATATATACCACATTTTCTTTATCCATTCACCTGTTGAAGGGTACTTAGGTTGGTTCCAGAGCTTAGCTATTAATGAATTCAGCTGCTATAAACATTGATATGGCTGCATCACTGTAGTATGCTGATTTTAAGTCCTTTGGGTATATACCAAGGAGTGGGATAACTAGGTCAAATGGTGGTTCCATTCCAAGTTTTCTGAGGAATCTCCATACTGCTTTCCAGAGTGGTTGCACCAATTTGCAGTCCCACCGGCAGTGTATGAGTATACCTTTCCCCCCACATCCTTGCCAATATATGTTGTTACTTGTGTTCTTGATAATTGCCGTTCTGACTAGAATGAGATGGAATCTCGGTGTAGTTTTAATTTACTTTCTCTAATTTCTAGGAATGTTGAACACTTTTTTCATATATTTCTTCTTCTGTGAACTGCCTGTTCAGTTCAGCCCATTTAACTATTGATTTATTTGTTTGGGGGGGTGTAAAGTTTTTTGAGTTCTTTATATATCCTGGAGATTAATGCTCTATCTTGGGTGCAGGTGGTATTTTGTCCCATTCTGTAGGCTCTCTCTTCACAATCTTGATTGTTTCCTTTGCTGTGAAGAAGCTTTTTAGTTTGATACTATCCCACTTATTGATTCTTGATTTTACTTCTTGTGCTTTAGGAGTCTTGTTTGAGTAAGTCTGTTCCTAAGCCAACAAGATGAGCGAGTTGGGCCTACATTTTCCTACTACTAGGTCTAATGCCTAGGTCCTTGATCCACTTTGAGTTGAGTTTTATGAGAGATAGGGGTTAAATTCAATATCTGTTAATTTTTAAAACAAAAAAAATGATACTGTGCTTCCAGAGAATTTCAGACATTCCCCTTGTATATATGAATTCCTCCTTTTCCTCTACCTGGATTTCCTGCTTTATTCCAATTAGAATGGCATGTAATTTATCATCCAAACTGGGACACTTGAGACTGTAAGAAGATGCTAGTAGTAATCATACCAGGACAAGAGGGAGACGACAGGACTATTTGGAGCAAACCAAGGCGTTCCCTTCTTCTCCAGGGAATATGCTGTCCACCCTATCCCACTATCCTCCCCAAGAAGGCCTACATTGTGCCCTCAGTGCACCTGTGGTCACTGGGTTACCTGCCTCATCCTTACTGCATTGTGGGCTTCCCAAGAGCAGAGGCTAGGTCAAGGAACATGGTATTGCAGAGGTGGTTAGTAAATTCTCATGACATTGAGGAAATCCTGATAATTGATCTCTAAACTGGGCCATGACCTAAGCTTCATTTTGAGGTTTGCAAGAGCCAGTGGTTGTATGCAGTGGGGAGATTCACTATGGTGTATTCATATATGCCCATCCACAAGAACTTAATTGAAAAATAAATACAAATAACTATGGGTAAATGGCAGAAAGACCAAGGGAACAGGAGGTAGGGAAAGGGAAGGGGAAGGAGAGGAACTAGAATCCTAATTAGAATAAGATATATTCCACACTTGTATAATTATATCAAAATTGATTCAACTGCATGTATAAATCAAAACAACCAATAAAATAAAATTGAAAAAATGAGCCAGCAGTTGAAGCCTTTCTTCAAGCCTCATGGTCTCTTCTTCTACCTCTTGATTTTCCTTTACAAAGCTCAGGATTTTGATGTGAAGGTAGACATATGTGAGTGCAAATATGCAATCATCCCTTTGTATTCAGGGGACATTTGTTGTAAGACCTCCTCTGGATACCAAAACGCTCAGATGTTCAAGTCATATGTAAAATCCCGTAGCATCTGCATATAACCAAAGTACACCCTCCCATATTCTTTGAACCATCTCCGGATTCCTTTCACTACCCCATACAATATAAATGCTATATAAATAGTTATTCTATTAACTTGTTTAGGGAATAATGACAAGAAAAAGCTTACAGGCTCAGTATACAATTATTTTTCAAATATATTTGATCTGAGGTTGGTTGAATCCAAGCATGTGGAACCCATGGACAGGAACAGCTGACTGCATGCATCTTTCAGTAGTCCTGGACTTTCCAGAATTCTGATGAGGATAGATATCAGAATAATATAAGGCTATATATTATATATATTTAATAAGGCTTTGCCAGGGGAGCAGCTACAAACAGTTAATGTATTTATGGTTCAGAACCATGACCCTCTGATTCTAATTCAAATCCTTATCAGTTTGATTTCTCCCAATTTCCTTGATAGAAGCAGGGCTTAGGCATTACAGAGCTGACATTGTCCCCCTTCTGTTTTCCAGGATCAGTATAAGTTCTGCTACGAGGTGGCCCTGGAATACTTGAATTCTGGCTGATGGCGGAAACAGCTCTGCAGACAAACCCGTTCCTACCACAAAACCAAGATGTTCATGGTGTTTGTGTAGATGAGATGAAGACTTCTCAATATGCTTATTTTGCTTTGCATAATTGGCTCTTTTTAAGAGCCCAAGAAAGTGTTTATGAAACTGCTTGCACTGCCCAATTCCCAGTAATGCTGCTGCCTGACAGAAACACACAGCCTACAGTCTTCAGATACTGTACACCTCGTCACCGGCTTGTTAGAGCGGTGTAGACATCCGGTCGATTGAAGAGCACAATTATATTCTTATGAAGGAATTTGTACCTTTGGGGTATATTTTTTGTGGCCCGTGATCCTCTGTCATTGTATGTTTTTGTTCTGTGGAGAATGCTCCTTGGCATTATGATAATATATTATTTTAGTTAATATTTGTATTTTAACATGTCACATAATACAAGCTTATGTAGCTTTCCAGGACTAACAGATCAATGTGTAATGAACAAAGAGATGTTCTATGAGTTGTTGTTTCTATCAGATTTGTATCGTTTCCAAGGGAAAAGCTTGGGGAGGACTCACTTCAAAAATGCAACATGGTCAGATTCACAGATCCAAAGCTTTTCCATTTGTTTATATTGTAAATATTTTTGATTTCATCAAATTATTTATTCATTAAAAGAAATTTTTGTGAAGCACAGTGGGTGACAATCATTTTTATTAAGCCTTGGAAATGACTTACTGTATGATGTTACCTTATGTGAATTCTCAACTCAATAAATGATGACCCGTAACCAGGCGTGGTGTATTCCTGGTGTCCCAGTGCACGGGCAGTGGAGGCCACACCAGTCACACAGGACCACTAGGGGAGTAATTGCACCTGGGACCTTGTCTTAGTCCACTTTGTGCTTCTATAACAAAATACCACAGACTGGGTGATGCATAAAGTAACTTATTTCTCAAATTGCTAGAGGCTGGGAGGTCCAAGACTGAGGGGCAGCACGTGGTGAGGTCATCATGCTGCATTATAAAATGGTTGAAGAGCAGGTGAGCATACAAGAGACAGGGCAGGAGCAAGAGAAAGCTGAGGACACTTTCATAAAAGGCCATACAACAACTTACCCACTCCCTCAATCATGGCTTTAGTCCAATAGAGGTATTTTTTAAAGGTTCTGCCTCCTGACACCATCATAGTGGTGATTGTAAATGTCAGTATGAATTTTTTAGGGGATATCCAAATTATTGTAGTCCTATTTGACTAGTGCAGGTAGGATTAGGGTTTTAGAGAAGGAACTTTTGTCAATAAAAGCTCTAAGTCCATCATGGTAGCCTACCCAGTGCTCAGGAAACATGCTGTGGGGCTCACTGTGGGGCATGGATTCTGACCTAGCTGGGCAGGCTGAACAAAGTGCCAGGGCAGGGACTTTTGGGCTGGGCGGACCACTTTTTCCGCTTCACCTCACTCAATGGAGGATGATATATCCTTTTCACACCTTATTCAAATCTTAAAATATGCAGAACAATTTTTAAAGGGTTATAAGATCAGATGTTTCAGAAGGAAACATCATGGCCAAGGAACCTACTCAATGCTACCTGAGGACTTTGACTCCTAAAACAGAAGGCAAGTATGCTGTGAATGGAAGATTTACATTTGAACTGAATTTCAGGATGTTCAATGGTAGCTAATGGAGACCAACCTTTACTGAACACCAATTCTCTGCCAGGCACTTTCTGATGTGGTAGCAGTTTCTTTCCATAATATAGTCCAGGTATGATTGTGAATCTCACCCAACAGATGGAGAAACTCAGAAAATATTAATTCATTTGTCTAAAATCAAAACTAGTGGGCACCAAATGCCTCCAGAGCCCAAAGGAGGTACAGTGACAGCAGTGGCATCATCCCCGATATCCAAAGTCCATGTGTACTTCAAAAGATTGGAGATTGTGGGAAACTAGCAAACACTAGTCTCACATTGAAGACAAAAATTCCCTCTATACTTAAATCTCTGGATTTTTATCCTCCTTTCACTTTTTTTATATTTTAGAAGAAATAGAAGGGAAGGGGCATTCTGTGGCTTTGTCTGATTTCCCAAAAGCCTTTGCAGTATGGTTGAGTTCTGTTATTTCATGTACACAAAGTCTTTGCCCCTTGCAAACAATGGAAGCCAGCCTCTTGCCTGCTTATCCTCCTCTATTTCTCAATCCTCTGGGTTCCCATCTGTGTGGCATCCTGACCCTCCTAGACACTTCATACCTATGGCTACTGTGGAAGTCAATAACCCTGCCCTGACCCTCTGACATAGTCCTTGTATTAGTCAGGGTTCTCTAGAGGAACAGATATACATATAATTATAAAAAGGAATTATAATTATAAAAAGGGGATTTATTAGCTTGGCTTACACAACCAGAAGCTGGATAGTCCACAATGGCCGTCTGCAGGCTGGAGAGCTGGAAGAACCAGTAGCTGCCCAGTCCAAGAGGCTGAAGCCCCAGAACAAGAGGGATCAACAGTGCTGCCCTAGTCCAAGACGAAAGGCTTTTGGAGAATCACTGGCAGAGTCAACTTTGGAAAACTGAAGAAGCAAGAGTGTGATATCCTCAGACCTTCGCAGCAGCAATCCAGAACCAGGTCAAGAAGAATAGAGCTTGCATCTGCTGCTGCTTCCTTATTCTTCCAATTTTTATTTCATCCAAGCCATCATCCTATTGGTTGGTGTTGCCCAGGCTTAGGAAGGGTCTCAATTTCAGTTGGCTACCTACATGCCAGTAATTCCCAAACACACCCTCATCGACACACCAATAATCCCCTTAATCCTTTCATCTCTTAATCCAATCAAGTTGAGAAATCAAATTAACCAACGGAGTCCTCCTCATGAGCAAGTTGGTAACAGTTATTCCATGGTGTCTTTGCATGGCAGCATGACTAGGCTAAACTGCATTTCCCAGAATCCCATGGTGTATATATTTCTAGTTAGGGTTAGCCCCAGGAATCACTGGATGCAAGATATGGAGGACAGAAGTGAAGCAGCAGCTGCATTTTTTAAAGTAGCTTTATTCTATTTATTTTTATCTGGTGCTGAGGATTGAACCCAGTGCTTTACACATGCGAGGCAAGCACTCTACCAGTGAGCCACCACCCCAGCCCAGCTGTATTGTTTTTATACCCAGAGAGCCACTGATCAGTACTCCAAGGTGAACAACAGGCTTCAGGTCCTATCAGCACTCTCCTCAGAGGCCCTCCAGAGTCTTCTCACCAGATCCATCCCAGGCCTATGTTTTTAGGTTTCGTTAAGGCAAATGTGTATTAGTTATCTGCTGCTAAATAGCAAGTCCCCCCAAAATTTAGATGCTTAAAACAATAAACCTTGTTATCTCATGCAGCTTCTGCAGGTCTAAAACTTATGACTGGTTTTAGCTAATTGATTCTGGCACAAAGGTCACCCTCAGGTGGCCATCAAAATGTTAGGTCAGAGCTATCAAATTTTCTGTCTTAGGCTACTTTCTGTTGCTAAACTGAATGCTACAAACTGAGAATGTATATAAAAATAGTCTGAGGAGCTATCCCATTCCTCAGTTTATACCCAAAGGACTTAAAAACAGCATACTACAGGGACACAGCCATATCGAGGTTTATAGCAGCTTAATTCACAATAGCTAAACTGTGGAACCAACCTAGATGCCCTTCAGTAGATGAATGAATGGGGATACTGGTATATATACACAATGGAATATTACTCAGCATTAAAAGAGAATTAAATCATGATATTTGCAGGTAAATGGATGGAGTTGAAGAATATAATGCTAAGTGAAGTAAGCCAATCCCCCAAAACCAAAGGCCGAATATTTTCTTTGATATGAGGATGCTGACTCATAATGGTGATGGGGGCAGAGCATGAGAGGAATGGAGGAACTTTAGATAGGGCAAAGGGGAGGGAGGGGAAGGAAGGGGGCAAGGAGTAGGAATGATGGTGGAATGAGTTAGACATCATTACCCTAAGTACATGTATGAAGACACAAACAGTGTGAAAATACTTTGAGTACAATCAGTGACTTGAAAACTTGTGCTCTATGTGTGTAATATGAAATGAATTGCATTCTTCCATCATACATAACAAATTAGAATAAATAAATAATTTAATAAAAAATAAAATAAAATGGATAACGTAGGTTCTTAGATATTTTGTAATCTTTATGTTACCACTGTACAGATCTGGGTTTTAAAATTTTAATTGTAGAACAGACTTAGATTTACAGAACATTTGCAAATATGGTCAAATGTTGCCATATACCCATACCCAGTTTCTCCTATTATTAATATGTCAAGTCATTATGATACATTTGTTATAATTAATGAAGCAATATTCATACATTATTATTAAAGAAAAGTCAATACTTAAAAAAATGGTCTGGGGATATAGTTCAGTTGTAGACCACTTGCCTAGCATGCATGAAACCCTGAGTTCAATCCCTACCACCAATAAGAAGAGAAAGAGATAACAAGAAACATGAAGACCCTAAGGTAAGTCATAATCAAATTGCTTAAAACCAATGATAAAGAGAAAAGTGTATGAGCTGAAACATTATGTGCAGAGATCAGAATTACAACAGGCTTCTTTTGAGACACATTGTAAGCCAGAAGATAGAACAAAGTTTATTCAGCTCCTGGTTCTGGAGATGGGAGGTCCAAGGACAAGAGCTTTCTTGAAAATCCTGACGTGGTGTAGGCATCACATGGCAGGCATCATCTGAGAGCTTGACTGAGACTGAGAGATACATTTCTAAGGCAGTCCATTCACACATCCAGCAAGTTGGCACTTGCAGAAGATGTTAGTTTCTCTCCATGTAGGCCTTTTTATAAGCTTCTTAAGTGTCCTCATCCAGTGATCAACAAAAGAGCAAGCCAGAAGCCACTATTTCTTTTATATCCTAGTGTGGAAGTCAAACTTTGTCACTGCCACATTATCCCAATGGCTATAAAAGTCAGCTGTATTCAGTGTGGGGAAGTACTACACAAGGGTACAAATACCAACAAAAGAGGATGATTGGAGAGATCTGGCAGGTTGCCTACACCCTCTGGCCAGCTTCAGACCTCCCACATCAGCTGGCACTTCGACTTCTGCAGGCTGGCTAGCAGGGCCTGAGAGAATCCTATCCCAAAGGGCTTGGCCTGTAAGGCTTCTTCTTCTTCTTTTTTTTTTTTTTTTTTTTAGTAAGGGGAACAAAAAGTTGTTTTCACCAGTATAGATTCACATTACAGTACACCAATATTGACAGCATTCTCTTGTCTATTTTTGGTACAGAAGATGGTATCTCTCTACATAACTTGTAAGGCTTCAGTAACTAAAACATAAAAACAAACAAACAAAAACCCCCCAAAACAAAACAAAAACCCAGCCTATTAGTTTACAGTTTATTTTAAAAATCCTGAAAGACACTGCAAGTTCTAAACTTTTAGTAGTGCTACCCATACACAACCATCTGGTCAAGAACCCAGTAAAAGCGCCCCTTGTTGAGGAAGCTTTGCAACAGTAGAGTTGTGCAATATGGATGTTTCTTACTACAAGAAAAAAATTATACATGGCACATTCTCATTCGTATTTTGTAATGTAAAAAGTTACAAACATACCTAATCAAATAAATAATAAAAAAAAGGATTTGAATGTATTTGTTAAGTATTCTAAAACCACTACATAGAATAATGGCAACTTTCACTCACAGATTATTTACATGGTAATACCCAGTGTGGGTACACTGCTACAAAACTCAAAACAGGAGTAAACTTGAAATGTTTTCCATAATGAAGATCTAGCAGCATGACTATCTAATGCTGTTTTATCCCGATTGCTTCTGAAACATTCCTTTTTAGTCTGTGTCTTCATCCAGTTCATAATTGTCTTTATCATAAATATCTTTTACTAGAAGAACCCGTACAAGCATATTTTCCAAGGTGTTTCGGTCCAGTGAAGTAGATGTATACCAGACAGGGCTATCTGTTGAACTAGAGCATTCTGGTTGCAAATAAAAAACATCCATTCTCTGATTAAGATTCTGTGGACTTTTAGACAAGTAGCATTCAAACATTTTCACAGGACATCTAGAAGGATTGGATGTGTTTTCAATTTGCTCAAACACTGGCTCATCATCTTCATGTTTTCTTTTTCCAGTAGTAATTTTATCTTCATTATCTGTTCCACATAAAGAAGATACTTGGTATCGAAGACATGCTTTGTTTTCCATTGTTAAAGGATTTTTTTTCCAATGCCTAAACACAGTGCCAAAGGAAAGTCTTAAGTGTTGTTCCACTGTTTTGAGGCCAAAATACTTAGTGTTAAAGTAGAACAGGGTATTCAAAAGAGCTACTGGAGAGTGTGATCCTAGTTGTTTTATCCTCCAGAGATAGTCTTCTTCAACTCGAGAGAATATTGACCCATCTGGAAGTATACTTGGTTGCCAACTTCGTAGTATTTTATTCAATTCTTGCTCAAACATCTGGTATCCTGGATCAATAAATATGTTGTCCTTTCGATTACTACCACACAAGTACTCCTGTATTCCAAGGCAGAGATAATAGATGCTGTCAGGTGCATAATTCTCTCCATTTGGTCGTCGGATCTCATTGACAAAATGAGCTAACCCATAGTTAAGCTCAGCTGTAGTATGAGACAGTAGATCTTCTTTTAATTTTACTGATTTAGAAGATTTCAGCTCATCTAATACTAGAAGATCTTCATCAAGTTGCCTAGTTTTGACCCAGTGTTTCCAAGCATTCACACCATATGTGTATTTGAAAGGAAAGCTGCATTCTGAATTATCAGAACTATCGTCATGAGACTGGTATCCTGATACAGCTTTTCTCTTGGCTCCCTTTTTTTTAGATCGAGGTCTGGGCTGTTCCTCATGTTCTTCTCCAAAAACAGGTGGTAATAAAAACTCATTTTCCATATCAAGCTCCTCAGCAGCTCTGGGAAAATCTATCTCAATATCCAAATCTGGTTCATACGGTACATCAGGCATGTTGGACTGTGTCTCTGAGTCAGAGCTTTTAATGAGATCTGAACCAATTATATCACTTTCGATAATTACACTATTGATGTTGGATGTATCTGTTTTCTCCTCATCTTCATTCATCATATCTGTCATTGTAAGCAACTCTGTATCAAGAGGATCTGAAGAAACTTTGCTTTTTAGCTCCTCAACTGCAGCCGGAATTTTCTCAGTGCTATCCAATGGAGCAGGCAGAAAAACAGGAACGGGCACAGGAACAGGAACTGTAGTAGGAACAGGAATATTCTGGCTGTACATGTGCATAGGTACTGGGATATACACAGGCACGGGAATAGGCACTGGAACATATTCTGTCTTCCAATTATCATCTGTCTGACAAGATTTGGTCTGCATGTGAGGCTTACAGTAAGTAGCTTTTGTCATTGTTAGAGGTTTGCAAAGAACTGCTTTGTTCTTCATCTCTTTGTTTGGTGTTGGAGAAGGGGGTGGTGCTGAACCTGTCATTTTGGTTCTGGATGTCTGACAGCCCTGATCATAATGTAAATTTTCAGGTCCTTTCTGAGTTGTCATGTTGGGCTCATTTTGTTGACAATAAAAACGTAACAAGCAGTGTTGATCACAAAAGTGTTTCATTTCCCCACGCCACTGCACTCGCTCTTTAAGAGTTCCTTGAGATTTACAACAGTCACACCTTGCAGCCTTATAGTTCCAATCCTGAAATTTTTTACAGCAGTCTTCACTGCAGAAATCTCTCACAACACCATCAAGTTCTTTAGTTGCTCCCTTCTTACACAGCTGAGAACAATAGTTGCAGGTAACACACCTTAATCCTAAACACCTTGCAAAATCCTGTTTGTATAATAGTTTGCAGCCTTCACTACAGAAAGGTCTCTTAACGCCAGAGAAATTTACTGTTTCATGAAGAGTCTTCTCCTCTTGACAGTATTCGCAATATGTAACTATGCAATGCAACTTCTTATAGTCATCTGAACAAGTTTTGCTGCAGAACTGATGCACTTTGTTCTCCCATTCCAGGATTTCTGGTTTTGAACAAAAGGAATTTTTACAGTAGTTGCATTTCAACTGAATATCACTTGGTGCTACAAATTGGCCATTTGGAGATGACTGCATGCTTAGAGCCTGAAACTTAGCCACACAACTGGAATTGCAAAAGTTACACAGTTTTCCATCAGGCATTGTGGCTTGGTATTGAGGTAAAGAGTTTCGCTTACAAAAATGGCAAATAATTCCCAAACTTTGTGATTTTGCATATTTTGTCTTGTGACTATTCATGCAATCGGTTGAACAATATGGTTCCATATATCCATTAGGACCTATACACTGAGTCATATCAAAAAACCTGCACTGAGTTCGGCATCCAGTACAAGTTGTCAGTTTTCCATATTTCTCAGGCTGCATTAAGAAAGAATCCTGCATGTGATCACGAACCTCCTTCAGGAAGCTTGGATGGCTACCTACCTGTTTGTATTCACTGACACAACTTTGACAGCAAAATCTTTTCTGCTGACCATCAATCACCAGAACATTATTTCCAGCACCTTTACTGGGCAAATATTCTCCACACTGTTCACAGCAATTCATTATTAGACCATTGGCCATTCTGTATCTATTAAAGCAGTGGTCACTGCACAGTTTATGAGTCATATTTTTAAAGCTAACTTCATGGCGAATCTCTGTTAGTTTACCACAGATTGTACATCTTGATTTATTTAGAGTTCCTTTAGTAGGATTCTGTTTGTCTTCATAAAGAGACAAACAAGATGTACTACAGAATTCCTGGAAGGACTCACTTGAATCTACTTGAGCAACAATGGTTCCTTTCATCGTAGTTATATCTTTTTTACACATAACACAGAGTTTCTTTGGAGCAGGCTTGTGGGAGAAGGAAGAAAGGCAGGTAGTAGAACAAAAGAGATGAGCTGATCCTTTTCGTTGATAAGCTGTCTGTCCCTTCTGTAAAGGTTTTTTGCAGTTTGCACAAGTAACTTTAACTGGTTTAGTGGGTTGCTGCTGGGCAGAAGGCTGAAAAATCTGTTTAGGAAGTGAGGCCACTGGTGATAAAGAATCCACCCCTGGTTGTTTCTGATTACGGGGAAATGATGCTGACTGGGAGATCCAAGAATCAGGATTATGATGAGTTGCAGATTCTCCATTCTGAAATACATCTCCTGCCACATTCATTCTACCAGGATTAAAAGGTCCTACTCCAGTCTTGGTCTTACTTCTTGAAAAACTGGAAGTAGAGAAATCCACATCATTGGTTCTATTTTTAGTCTCAGAAGGTCTCCGTTCTATAAAATTGGAGGAATTTTTTTCTTGCCCTTGATTTGTTTCCATGTCCTCTTCGTCATCGATGACAATTGTCTCACTTACACTTCCCTTCTGAGAAGCCAACTCTTTTGAGGAAGAAATAATTTTGGAATCATTTCCTTGTAATTCTTCATTTTTTGATGAAGTAAATGTTATGTTTCTTTGATCAGTTACCACTGGTGCAGAAGGTGGGGGAGGTTGTACAGGTTCAATAAAAACAACATCATCATCGTCTTCCACTGATGAGTTTTGAAATTTATTAGATCTAGACACTAAAGGATTGGGTGGACCACTAAATGAATTTCCTACATTTGTGAGACCAGTTGCCATGGCCGTACTTCCCAATAAAACAGGAGTCTGCTCAGTCAGTTCTAATGCTCCCACTGAACTTGTGTCCATGCCAAAGAACCTTCTTTATGTGACTTCGAATGTTCCATGATTAAGACCTCATCTAACAATCAGGGTGTTTTCCTTCTCACTTTCTGCCAAAGATGCACCAAACAGGGTTGAAGGCAATTTCTGGTCCCGGCCCGCCCGGCCGCGCCCGCACTCCTGCAGCCCTCAGGCCGGACGCAAAGACGCCTGTGACATGAGCGCGGCCCGGAGCAGCCCCCGAGGCCCCGACGCCGCAGCCAAGGCTTCTTCTTATAGTGCCCTTTCCATACTGATATGCATTTTTGTCCTACCATCTTTGACTTCTAACAATACTCCCACTTTCAGTATGCCCCAAGGAAACTTTATCCAATTGTAAACTACCTCAAAGCTTCGATTAACATGAGGCTCTCTTGTCCTGAAACCTAACGAAATGGCTTCCTCCAAAACTCTTAAGCAGAGGTAATTCATTCTTCCTTTCACACCTCAAAAACTTCTTCACTTCTCTTCCTGCTATACTTAAGCTAACTGATGCCCACATCCCGTAGCTTGTCACTTTGAACCACTTCACCTCTGTATTCTTAAACTCACCAAATGCTGACTCATTTCCCTCCATTGCTAGCTTTCTCTTGCTTTATTCCTGCCTCCTTGTTCCTTGACCATATGAAAATCTCTAACATATCCTCTGAATACTGGCCTCCTTACCTTTTTCCCAGAACAACCCAAGCCCCATGATATATGGCTTCAACCACAGTTGTGCCAGCACTTTCAATGCCCTTGACATGTTATTAGTTCTGTTATATCCACCACTCAAATGGTCGGTTTTAGAGAAATTCATCTGGAACAAAGACCAGATTTACTTTCCTAAATGAAGCAACTGGAAAAAAAAAACCTGGGAAAAAAAAAACATTAAAAAGAAAAAGGTTTATAAAAACACTAGCCATCAGGCAAAGGAGGACATTGATCTCCAAGACAATGGGAAACGCATTAGGTGATGCCTTGAATAGCCCTCAGCAAAAGGCTTGGAGAGAATTTCCAGACGTTGGATTCAGGAAGGAGGAATACAGATACAGCTCAGAGGTCTCTCTTATTTGAGAAAACGAGGCTTAAAGTCCAAAAAGGCCCAGGTGGCTAGTGTTTTCAGGGCAGAGAATCAGATGAGAAAGCTGCACAGAGATTGTTGTTCTAAAGATCTGGAGAGGGTCTCACTCAGGTCTTCCACTATGTCCCGCCCACTGTCCCATGCCAACGGTGGGAACGGGGATCCCTCTGTGATAAGGGCTGGCTGAGAAATAAAAGCTAAGGGAAATAAAATGGCAGAAAAAAAAAACAAAAACAACACAGAACACAGAAAGTATCTTCAAAAATGGTGGAATGATGGGCAAGCTTATCACACGGATCAAGCTTCTAGACAAAATGGATCCTGTGCCCGCTTTATTTATATCAGGAAACATCAAAGAGATTCTATAGAATGTTCTCAAAAAAAGGTTAAAAGTGGGCTTTTCAGTTCCTAATGGATTATCTCTGGAGCTACTATGAGGAACCTTCCTAGCAGAGAGAAGGGAAAGGTCATGTGCACTGAGCAATCTATTGCAGTGGGAGAGCCATAGAAAGTTCCCAATGCCAGACCTATCTCTCCTTGGCTACCATGCTGAGAGAAGATCCTCATGTATCTATGTCAGGGATGGCTTACTGCAGCTAGGTACTAATTAAGATAAGCAAATAAGGTTACCTTAGGCCAAAGAAAGAACCACCCCATAAATCAGAGGGAACAACAGAATTCACACAAGCCAGAGGAATTTGTTTCCATTGATTAGAGAACTCAGAAGGTTTTTGTCTCCCTAAGTGGGGCAAAATTATCTCTAGTCTAAGCACAGCTGTGGTCCAGTCTAACAAAGCCATAACTGAGGATCCAACTGTTTCCAAGTAACTTCAGCACAGAACAAAATTTGAGAATATTTATAGAAATAAAAAATATCCATTACTCAAGAAAGTAAAATTCTTAATATCTAGCACCCAATCCAAAATTACCAAGCACCCAAAGAAGCAGGAAAATATGATTTATAATGAGGAGAAAAAAATCAATTAAAATTGACCCAGAAATAATGCACGTATTGGAATGGTAGACAAGCACATTAAGGCAGTTTTGTTATAACTGTATTACAGATGAGGAAAGTGTTAGAGGAAAGATTTAGCATGGAAGATATGAAAGGGATCCCGATAAAACTTGAAGAGATGAAAACTGCAGATCGTGAGATAACAAAATATACTCCATCTAACATAAGATTAAACTTTATGGAAGAAAAAAAATTAGTGAACTTGAAGAAAACCACTAGAAACTATTCAAAATAAAATAGAGATGGGGCTGGGGTTGTAGTAGTTCAGTGGTAAAGTGCTTGCCTAGCACACTTGAGGCACTGGGTTCGATCCTCATTGCCACATAAAAATAAATAAATAAACAAAACAAAAGCATTGTGTCCATCTACAATAAAAAGATTTTTAGAAATCAAATAGAAGAATGGAGAAAAATGAACAGAGTATGATTAAACTGTTGGAATCTCCCTGAAGTGGGGAATAAAGGAGACAAAAACTATATAAAGAAACAAGCTAAAATTTTTCCAAACTGGATGGAAATTATAAACTAAACCAAGTAATTCAATAAACGTCAAACACAAGAAACAAGAGGACGGCAAGGTACATCAAAATCAAATTGCTTAAAAACAATGACAAAGAAAAAAAATAGAATAAGCCACCAGAGAAAAGACACATTGTGTTCAGAAAAAGATGAGAATTACAGTGAACTTCTTTTGGGATATATTATAAGCCGCAAGATAGAATAATAATTTAAAGTACTGACTGAAATGAGAACTATCAACCTGGAATTCTATACCCAGCAAAAATGCTTTCTAAAAGGATAAGTAAAAATCAAGATATTTTCCAACACACAGAAATTGAAAGAATGAAGAAAATGATCTCAGATGAAAATCTGCTTATACACGAAAGAATTAAGGGCACTGGAAAGAATTATTACATGGATACATATAAAGAACTTTGTTCTTAAATATCTTTTAAAGATAACTCACTGTCTAAATAAAAATCAATAACATGTGGGTTTTAGTGTATGTAGGGGGAAAATTCTGAAAATAGCAGAGAGGAAAGAAATGGGAGTATTCTGCCATTCGATTCTTCTATTATGCAAGAGGTGGTAAAAAGTATCACTATAAGGTGACTGTGATAATTTAAAGACTACAGTATAAACCCTAGAGCAATCACTAAAATAACACAAGAGTTATGGTTACTAAGCTGACAGAGGAGGTAAAATAGAAACATAAAAAGAGATTCAATTTCCAAAAGGAGGAAAAAGAAAATGGAACAAGGAACAGATGGGACAATAGCGAGCTGGTAGATTTAAACTCAACTATATCAATAATCACATTAAGATGTAAATGGCCTAAAAACCCCAATTAACAGTCAAAGATTGTCAGATTGGAGGGAATAAAAGCAAAACCCAACTATACGCTGCCTATAAGAAACCCACTTAAACACAAAGAGACAAATCAAACACCTCACCCATCGGCTTTCCTTAACACACCCAAGCTGCTGAGAGCTGCTGGGGAAAGATCACACAAATGGGTGCATTATAGCTGCTACAAATTCATGGCATCATCTTTCCTTTTCCCTTCCCCACTGCAAATAACCTGAGAGTTCTTCAAACTTAGGCGACTTACACCAGGACAATAACTGTTTCCTTCTCCACGGGAAAAGTCAGTTGTCCACACTCCTGCCTGTGCATGTGTCTGTCTGGACGCCCATCCTCTCCCCTTTGTGATCACATTCAGAGAAATAATAATCTCTTTCCCCCTTTATAACACAGGTCCTAAAGACAGGGACTACCTCCACAATCCCAGTGCTCAGGCCCCCATTGGGAAGGGAGGGTAGATGAGCTTTCTCTCTCGCCCCCTGTGAGGTCCTTCTCGCTGCCTCAGAACTTGGACACCCTCTTTTCCCAGTTGTTTGATCAGGACCCTGGGGCATCTATAGATGCTTCCTGCATACCTCTCAGATCCACCCTCATTTATGTATTTCCACTGAGACACCCTGCCAATGGTCATTTCTCTACTCGTACATGGCATGAGAAGTGTTCTCCCTAGCCTTGGCTCATGCCCCTGCCAACCCATCCTCTCTCTCATTATCACACAGAAAGCCAAATGTGACACTGTCACTCCTATCCCACTCCACTCCTCCCTGCCTTCTCATTGCCATTGAGATAAAGCCCTTCCTCTTCTGTCAACCTTGTGTGACAGGTTCTCTTTCCCACCCCTCCAGCCACCAGGGCTCCTTCATGCCCGCCCATGTCTCCATCTCTTCCTCATGCACCCACAACCACAGATGCTTGGGAAGTGCTATAGTTTAAATGTGTCCCCTCCAAATACAAATATTACTGGTACATGGAGGAAGGGTCTTTGGGAGGTAATTAAGACTAGATGAGGTCATGAGGACTGGGCCCCCATGCTGGTTTAGTGTCTTTACAAGAAGAGGAAGAGACCAGAGCTAGCATACCTGCTGTTTCCCTGTATGACATCCTCTGCCATGTTATAACACAGCAGGAGGCCCTCACACATGCCAGGACCATGCTCTCGGACTTTCTTAGCACCATGAGCTAAATAAACCTCTATTCTTAATAAATTAGCCAGTCTGTGCTATCCAGTTTTAGCAATAGAAAATAGACTAAACTGGAAGACTGGGCATCCTGAAGAGTGGGGTCTTGAGCTCTGGATGTGCCACACAGCAAATCAGTCTGGGAGCTTGCTCACTTCCTAGGGTTGCAACTACAGTGTTGTGCATAGGTCCCCCCATTGTCTCCAGGGATCCATAGTTCCCTCTCTCCCCCAAGTCCTGAGACATTGCTTCTCTTTTGGGTTGCTTCTCCCAATCTCTCCCTTTTCCCCTTAAGGACACCTGTAACAACCACTTCCATAGAGGGTCTCAGAGAGAACTTCTGATTTCTCAACCCACAAAGATCCTGGAGGCTCAGAAAACCTCAACTCAAAAGAGTATCCTCCTCATTCAAGAATGCCTTCCCTAGACTAGCTTGGCCTTAGAACCCTGCCCTCTACATTCAGTGTCCCCATATCTCCATGTGCCATGTCTGTGTCACCACATGACAGGACGGCCACAGTGCCAGTTACCAACACAATGCCTGCCACGTCGTGCTTAGCACTGGTAGAATAAGGGATTCAAGGC